AAATGTTCTCTATGGGTTAACAGAGGGGACGGATGGGTCATGGGGTGTGAGGGTCCTTATCACATGCATCCAAGTAGCGATATGGAAAGTGCGTTCCCTGTTGGCACTAAAGGGCTCGTGCTTTTCAACGGCAGAGTGTTTGCAGTTAGCAATGCACGAGTTACACTGCTATAGAGGTAGAGGAAAGCATGGGACGGAAGGAGGGGATACAACGCTCTGGCAAGGGCTGGACTTCAGGGGGTTGTTTCAGCCCCGTATAGGTATAGGATAGACTAAGGGACAGCTTTTGTTGTCAGAAAGAGCGGGTGAGGGATTTCTCATTATCTTTCTGTTAAGTATCAGTGTGTGAACCTGTCATTATATAAGAAGCAAGGGTAAGAGTTTCACTGAATGGAGTGTTCAGCAAAGTGAATGAGACGTTGTTTATCACGTGAGTATTATGTAATTGCTTGAAACTGTATTTGTATTCCCTTTGTGAGGCCTCAGGTGGGGTCCCTTTTTAAATCTGTTTGATATTGACTGTTTTCTAATAAAATGCTACAAAAAAAAACACAAAAAAGCCTTTTAGTATGGGGTGCGTCATTAGGAGATAAGGGGCAGTGCCATGATCAGAAGCGATCTGTAGATGGGGGTGAGTAGGTGAATATAGGTAGAAAGGAGGATCTAGAATGGCAGGAGGAAAAGCTCTAGGGGCAGGGCGAGATACTAGGAGGAGTGAATGGAGGAAGAATGGAAGCAGCAGACTGAAAAAGAAAGTGAAAAAAGAATGTGGGTGAGGAAAGGGGAAGAGAACTGGAGATTCAAGCAGGCAAGAAAGAGGAGGGGATGAGAGACCAATGAAATGTACAGCAGAATTGCCAACTCTTGTCTTTTTTGTGTCTCATAAAATTTTATGTTATTTTTAAAGATTCATTTCTTGGAGTCAGATGAAAATTTCAGCATTCACTGAAAAGAAAATATAGATTATACTTCTTGTGACTAGGGAAAAAAAGCTTGCAAGTGTAAATAGTATGGGTTGACAACCCAGAGAGCAAGCGAGAAGTTTAATAACAGAATGAACAGGGGATCGGGAGTCAGGATTCCTGGATTACATTCCTTAATCCCTCTGCGCCTCAGTTCTCTCATCTGTAAAATGAGGATAACTACTTTTCACAGAGGACTAGAAAGTGTAGTTAATTGCATGTTTGAAAAGTGCTTTGTGATCCTCCAATGAAAGGGCCTATAGCTGCATAATATTGTTGCTGCTGTTAATAACAACAACAGCATCAGCATCATCACTATTAGCATCCCTAATAATATTCTGGCCAGGAGGAAGCCAGACATTTTGTTTGGGTTGTATAGAGTTCAAGTTACAACCTTTTTTCAGCACCAGGTGGTACCCCCAAAAATACTTCAAACTAATGCATATACAGTAAAAGCTGTGTTAACCAGCATTTTACTAACCAGAATACTCTATTAACCAGAATTTCCAATATCCCCCAATACAAATCCTCACTTTAGCAACTGGAATCTTTGCCAAGTCTATCCGGCAGGCGCATCAAGTATTGCTGTTATTTACACTAGTTAGTGACACTGCCGATAGAGGAGCTCCCAGGACCCCTTCTAGTTGATATCTGCATAGGCGGAGGGAGAAAAAAAATTGGGGGCAGAAGGGCTGAGCATGCGCATGTGCGCATATGCCCCCCCGAGGTGGGAAAGTCTGTGACAGAGGGGGTGGGGGGAGAGGAAAGGGATCTGCACGGGACAGGGTGGGCTGCCACTGTGGGGTAGGGCTGGTATAAAACTCTCAGATAACCAGAATTTTTAGATAACTGGCACCCCGCTTACCCCACTCATGCTGAATAACAAAGCTTTTAGTGTACTGGGTAATACCATGCATTGGAATTTGTAATATTTCATCGCCCTGCCAAAAAATATTACTGTGTTTTCTTGCATACAATATGTCCCAGAATATATGCGCCTGGTTTTTGAAAGACAGAATGAATTAAAAAAAGATTTTTCCAGAGTTATGGCTGCACAGACCAGGGGCAGGTTCTACTCTTTAGCTGGCTCAGCCTCCCTTTCCTGTTTAAATACAACTGAAACCCTAGCTACTGCTGAAGACTGACCACTGTGGGTGAATCTATGATTAACCAAAAGTGCTAAAGAATTTCCAGGGCTGTGAAATAGGAGAAGGTGGACCAGAAACAACTAACAGACAAAAGCTGCCCCAAAAAAGGTTACTTTGATTAGTGGAACATCAAGACCATTAAAAAGGAGAGATGACCGTTAACACCTATGGAATGGCAGAGCCATTGAACCAATTGATTCCCTCAGCTGCCTGAATAATAATACCACTGCTGCTGCACTGCTGCTGCACCGTTGAGCAGGAATCAAAGCAGAATGCTTCTATGCTGGGCAGGAAACCAGATTTCCTACTTAATACATACACCCTGATTTTGGGGGGAAAGGGTGTGTCTTGTGTGTGGGACAATACAATCATTTGCAAAGTCAAGCATGCAAAAATTAAGAAATCCATGTTTTGGGGGCATCTTTGATTCAGCTCTACTGAATATTAGAAGACTGTCTGTCTTTCTCATGTTCATATACAATATTTTCTACAGAAGCATGACTCTTATACAAATAGATTGTTCAGAGAATTTAGCTGCCAGACTCTAACTAGCCTCTAAGGATCTTGTGTGGACTACGTAAACAGCAATTTTTCAAACGTTTCTAACTTGGTAAAATTTACAGTTTCAAGGAATGGCAAAAGGCACATCTCTGACATAAGTGACCCCCTGACAAATTTTGAGTCCTTGGCTCCAAAACATAGAGCCGTTAGAGCTGAAATGTTTATAAGAGTTTGTTAAACATGGACAAATATAGATATTGTTCTCTAACCTTATTCTTAGAAACAGCTGAACCATTTTTGCTGATACTTAAAAAAAAAAAAAAAATCAGCCTGAGGCAGACAAGCAGCATGGAAAATTTCAGCCCAGACAGTTAAAGTTTGGCAAAGCTCTAAGCAACTAAAATAGGATCTCATAATAGGAAGTGTCAGAAAACCTTAACTATAGGCATCACTAGGAGCTCCACATAGAATACTTATCTTGTAATAACTTGCCTTTCTCTTCCACAGCAGAAGAGCTGTTGCAGTGATGCTCAGTATAGCCAGCACAGTCGTAAGAGTGACAAGGAATCTCCATGTGATGGAGGAAGTCTCAAGGTACCCAGTGTCTGTGAGAGCAAGGAGATTAGAACCCATGCTACATTTTTAAACCCGAAGAATAGCTGTCAGAGAACTTGTATCCACAAGCAGCTCTGAAAGCACACCTAATCAGATACTTTTCCCCTGTAAAAATATTCCAGGGAAATTTAAGAGGGTTCCAGAGCTAAGAGATCAAGAGTAATAGATACAGCCCAGGTACATGCCTCTGCTTTTCCCACCACTAACATGAAACATCTTCTGCCATTCCACCCCTGAACCTCCCCGTCCACCACACACAATTCAATGCAAAAGGAACTGGTGTACAAGCAAGTTGTTGCCAACTGAGCTAGGGGGTGAACTTACTCTACAGTAGCTCCCCATGTGGACACTCTTACCATGTCGTAAATGTAACGTAGCGTGCCACTTAGTGAAAGTGGGGTTAGGTACCTCACATTTACCAAGGAGTAGGAGTGCACACATGGGCAGTTACTGCAAAGTGGGTGACATGCAGCAAAATCACGTATGAGCTTACCTCATAGTAACATATTTGTTCATGTAGCCATACCCAGAGACTGTCTGAAAGAAGTGTCCAGGGTAAGTCAAGGCTAACATAATTTCTGGAGTAGAAAGAATAGCAGTGTGTGAAATGAGTGGAAAATTAGAGAGAGGCAGAGCCATGAAGGTGAGAGCTTAAAAGTGAAGATGTACAAGAACAAATTTGATACACTGTGCAGTGCAGAAATTAAAAAGATGGTGTTTAGGTTAGAAGAGGCAAAGAGAAAGTGGTATTAGTGGATGAATTATGTATAGATTAGGGGAAGGTGACATGAGTGTTACAGAGGCAGTGAAGGTGCTACCCGAGAGTTTTAGCAATGTGGACAGAGACAGGCAAAAGGGAGTGCTAAACCCACACAGTAGCATTCAAAGGGTGTAAGTTAGTACAGAGATACCCACGCCAGCTCTGCAACCCAAAGCATCATAGCCACATTAATGCACTGCCACACACAGGTTCATTAGGTCAGCTTTCCTGAGATACACAGATAAACCCTTAACAACCATCCAAGATAGGATTGCTGCAACTGTCCCTTACCCTATGCCATGAGGTACTTTGGCTATGGTGCTTTGCATTTTAATCCTTTCTAAGGAGCATTTAATATCAGATACCATACAATAAACCCAACAGGTCAACAACAGCATGCAAGTCATTATCAACTCTCTCACAGTGCACTTGACTCCTGACCTGTAGCCATCCTCTTGCTATTTTAGGCCCATGCTTCAGATGAACAGCCCACCCATCATACTGCATTGTGTGGTGCTTTGGGAGGGGAAGCAGAAATTCCCACTGGAAATTAGGAAACCTGAACCTAACTCTCTGACCGTATATGTAATCACCTCTGTCACATGAACACAAGCCAAGCCATATAGCGCCTTAGGGGCATGTCAAGGTGACCTGAGTTCAATGCCTAACTGTTGCTGGCCTGCTGTAAGTCAGTGTGCCTCCATCATCCCCAATGGCACTGACTGCTTTTGTGAAGTGCTTTGAGACCTGCTGATGAGAAGTGCAAGGCATTTGCATTGCCTTCTGTCTTTATAGACTGCCATGACAGAAGAAAGAAAGGACAAAAAAAAGCACTGTTACAGGAAATTCCAGTCAGATTTTAGTCATTCAGACTTCCTCTTTTGATTTTTCCTTGGCTGGGAGGGGAGCTTACCTCTGACAAGGACAAATGTCCCATGTCCCTTTTGCGTTACCCTGGTCCAGTTGGCCTCACAGTAATAGGTGCCAGAAGCAGCTTTGAATGGCTCAATGTCACATCTATAACTCTCCTTTGCTGTCTGGTTCTCCTGTCCAGCAGGGATAGGTACAGATATCGGATACGTTTTGATTGTGGTTCTCTGGCCCTTTGAGTTCAGCAGATAACAACTGCCTATGAAGCTGGAATATTGCGTTGTGCGAGGGAAGCTGACCACACAAGTCATAAGTACTTGTTCATTGGCAAAAGCAACCTGGATCAGGGGTTCTTGCTGCACTTCAACCTGCCTTCCTTCTGTGGGATGGGAGATATGCATTAGCATTCACATAACACTAGTGGTGGTCAGGACAAAATCCCCGCCCCAGTCATGCAGATATAGTGCAGCACAGTTAGGTGCATTATTAAGTAGTTGCTGGAACTTCTCCATTGTGCAGTCTCAGCTACTGTCAGCAACCAAATGCAACTCAACTAGTTTGTGACCTACAGAGCCCATTAGGTAATCATTGTGCAATTCTTAGCCACTCAGGCTTCCCCTTTTCCCTTGTGAGTTCCTCTGTAGACCTCTAGCAGGCAGACATCAGGACAAGAGGAGACAGGAAGTGGACTGGTTATGTAGCATGTGAGAATATATTTCATCTGACAAAAATGGACAGCAATTTTCTAAAACGAACTCCGGGTGGATGTTTTGTAGAACTCCTACTCCAAAATCCCACAAGTTTGTGGGGGTGGAGGGTGTATGTGTGTGTGTGTATATGCACGCACATGCGTGTGATCACTGTGTGCTGAAGAAGGATCTGGATCCAAACATGTGAGTCTGTGTAACTATGTAGTTGTGAATTTAGGGCATGTGAAAGGAAGGAAAATATACATTCTCCAGGCAGGCCACTATTGGGACCTTAAAAAATATTAAGAGGAGGCAGCTTAATCACTCAAAACTTTGGCTGCTCAAAGTGGGATAGCAAAGAGCAAGTCTGCATATCAGATACAGGAACTATCAGCAGAAGCATGAAGATCTGAAGTAGATATCTGTGACAGCATCTCGGTAAGGGGCCAAGAAATAGTTCCCTTGATGGCTTATTTTTCACAGGTTATTGGAAGGATATCTATTTCTGCAATTCACCCAGTGATGGTATAGGAAGTTACAAGAGAGGAAGCAGAAGCACAGAGGAAACAATGAACCTAAGTATGCTCTTTCTTTTTGCTTAAAGAAAAGGAAGAAAAGCTGAAAAGGGGCACACTTCAGCCCAGCAGGAACATGGATAGAGAGCACACTCCACAGTGAACATGACCCTTTCCCTTTGCATCACACATAAGCCTGGTGCTATTGCCAGCCCACCTTTTTCCATCACTTTATTTCAGCACCTGCAGTTCTCATTTTCAAGTCATGGACAAAACAACCACCACAGAGCACCAGGAGGGGAGGACAGTCCACAGCATGTTAGTTTTAAGAAGTGAAATATATTTAAAAAATATATTATCCACATGGTTCTACCGAACTGCTTTTCTTTCCATCTACAACAGGAGCTAATCTCCTCTGCTTTTTTGCAACAATAAGTAAGGGGAAAATTAAGGTCTAAATACTACTGGACTTGAACCCTGTGGGCAGATTCCCAAGACACTAGTCCTTCAAAATTCAGGACAGCTGCTGGCCTAATTTCCCCACAATACAAACAACACAATTTGCTAATCAGCAGCTGATTTTTACTGGGTTTAACAAGCAGTGAGGCACTGACTATACAAACATCAGTGCTTTTCCCCTTTAGGATTATAAAACTGAGAGTCAGAATCTGGACAAGGAATTAGACAGAAGGCAGGTCAAGGTGGCACCTTAGAGACTAACTGCTTTGGAGATACTGTAAGCTTTTGTAGGCAACGGCCTACTGTCACCTATGAAATCTTATAGTTTCTCTGAAGCAGTCAGTTTCTAAGGTGCCACCTAGCTTTGGTGTCTGCCTGACTTAAGACTAATACAGCTACCTCCCTGGACAAGGGACAAGGAACTGTGATACAAGAACTGGAGGAAAAAGGTATAAATACCCTTCTTGGTTTCAGTGGGACTCTTTGGCATCCTACCTTCTACAAATGGGCACTGCAGGATGCTAAAAAAAACCCAACCCAAAATAGATTTTGGAGTTGCCATGCTATGCAGGTCATACCACTGCATTGAATGCACATAACATGACCAGATTTAAGGAGCAGCAACCCAGTATTTAACTCCTTCAAAACAAAGCACAGCAAAGATGTCTGAGGCTCAGCAATAGTAGAAGAACACAATCACACTCTATGAACATTTTCAGGGTAAAAACATCAATTACGGAAAGATCTCTGCAAATAACATAACCAGCAGCAATAGCCTGAAGCTAAGGAAAATTTTAGGTTACTGCATTAGATAAAAGACACTTAGCTGTAAAAGCAACTGAGCTGTAATACCCTCTCAGGAATGGTGCTTGGGGCCTCATCACTGCAGCTAGGAACAGGATAGATAGCTTAAAAAATGTATATTCCTTCAAACACAGGAGAGGTACAGCATGCCTGTTGATCTGGCCCTGCTCTTTAGGATCTGCTCATTCATCGTCTTTGTAGAGCAGCGCCAAAGTTGACGTGAACCCGGCTTTCACACAAGGCACTGCATAGCACCACTGCCACGAGACAGAATAGACCCTCCTTCTCATGAAATCTCTGGAGTTATTAGCTTGAGCAAAGACTATGCCATGGAGGATCTGAACAATTTCATCTAGGTTACACAGCACTCCTCCCACCCACCCCCTTCCTTTAGGGTTTTCTGTATGAGCTCTTAAATGTTTAAAAGCCAGAAATAGCAGCAGTGTGCAAATTCCTAGAGAGGATCTCTGGAAATTAGCAAAAGCTACCAACTGAAAAAATGCCCTAAACGAGAAAGCAAAAGTAAGGAATAAAAAGCACATTTTACCTCCATGCTGAAGCAACCAGAGAAACAGGAAGATAATGTTCGTATTGGAGGCCATGATAGGGTCAAAGACTGTAAGAAGGCAGCCAGATCTGAAAATCCAGCAGACAAGAAATGCTGCTTTTGTCAGGTATTTCCACAACTGAGAAACTATTTATCCCTCTCCCTTTGCAAAGGTACGGTAGGATGGACATGAAGTACGTCTAGCAAGCTGTTCCTGGTAGACACACGTTCCCTTCTGCTTTTTTTAGTTAAGTCTTCTTCCTGCTTCTGTGGTTCATGATTTTACACTCTCATGATGGTGTTGCATCTGACAGTGGTTAGCTAGAGTTGAGACTATAAGCTCAGGAGCCTTCTTGTCTTCTGATGGCCATAAAATATCATGCATGTTTGTGGCAAAACCCCAGAAATGGATATCACCACTTCCCTCCTCTCCCTGCTCCCCCCCCCAATTTTGTGTTTTCACTCAGGGCTATGGTAAAAATGGCTTGGACCAACTGGTTAGTCAGGTTGTTTGAGGACCGATGACTGTGTTTGTGCAGAATGTGATGGATGCTGCTACATTACCTTTGGAGTGATGGATGAGCTACACTTACTACATAGTTTGCTTTCCACATCCCATGTGTCAGGGCTTGGCTACATGAGGAGTTATTCCAGAATTGCTATTCTTGATTAACTGGCAAGTGTGGACAGTCTTATCCTTAAATGAGGGTATCTTATTCTAAATTAGTCTAATATGTCTCAAACTTGCCTACAGGGGAGACGTATTGTGAAGTAAGCCTGGGTGTAAACTTCCAGGGCACTAGTCTGTAAATGTACAAGGTGGCTTACTCTGTTTTAAAATGGATATATATCCACCAGGGGTGGGAGGCAGGAAAAGGGTCAGTGCAAAAGTAGCTTGTGAATTGTAGTCACATCCAAACTCACTTCAAGTTGCTGTGTAGACAAGACCTCAGATCTGGTTAGCCCTCTTATTTCAGAATAAGTTAATTAAGAATAGCCATGGCAGGATAAATTTTCACCCTACCTTAATCTGAACTAACTTCCCTTTGTGGACAAATCTGAGAAAAAACATTGCAGGGAGGGTTGATATGGAGACAGCAGAGAGAGCAAAAGAACAATGCCATCTCTCTCTTTGGGGAAGGACTGGGGACTCAAATAAGTGCTTACTGAATGCTTTTGTTTCAGGGACATCCTCATACCAGCAATATAACAGCTAAAAAATGGGTTCTGTATCTTACTAGAGAAGGCCTTGGGTCCACAAGCCTTCACCCTTCATGTCTTCCAAACCTGCCCCCTCCTGCCTCGGCACTTCCTGATATTTACGCTGTATGTCCACAAAGGGGCACTGCACCATGCAGGGTTTAATTAAAGCCTGTGTGCCACCTTTGGAGTACCCTGGGGGAGGGGAGCACTAGACAGCTGCAGGAAGGTGGCTGTTTGGGGGGCTGGGGAGGAGGGTAAATGTACTATTATTGTCTTACTGGTTGGTATATTGATTTTGAGGGCTGGCTTTGGTGAGATTTGCTCTGGAACAACCTCATTTTCAACATCTTTGTGGCCAGTCCTGCATGGGTGCACAGAGAGGAAGGGATCTCCTTGCATCCCTGAGTACACAGACAGAAACAAGGTACAGCTGCGTGGTACAACACTCAGAGCACCTGACAAACAGAGAGGGGAAGAGCAATGGCCCCATGTACTCTTCAAGGTTGGTGCAGCAACTGCACTCCTCCAAGGAAGATTTGGGTCAGATTACTGATAAGAGCTGCATGGGGGCTGGTCTTAGCTGGAAATCACTCTTTATAGGTCTCACATCTGAGCAGCAGAGAGAATCAAGAGTGGTAACAAGGCACTTGGGGGCCCAGTTGGTATTTTGGATACACAGACTGGGACACAAAGGCCCTGTGTGGACACAGGGTCAGGGGGACCCCAGGCAGCACTTCTTAGGCCTCAGTGAGGTCCCAAGACTGCTAGGTGGGCAGACTTACACCTCCCTAGAGAGGAATCTGGCTGCCTCGAGCATAAGTGAGGGATTTCTTTCTAGGCGCTTATATCACTTTAATCCCTACAGAACTTGCACAATTTCCACCCTGATGTATTTCAGGAGGGCACACTCTGCTGCTCCTCTCTGCAATGTGTTGAAGCTCTTATCAGCATTTATCAGCTTCAGAGTGATAAATGGATTATGTGTGGTGGCCTTGTGGGGTGGTGAGGGCAGCATCCCACCTGCCCCGCCTGTTAGTCCTTTGCCACTCTAAATGCCAAGTCCTAGACATCTCACTAGAGGGAATATTTAAAGATACAGAGCTGTAGCATTTCCGAAGAGATCACACATAAGAATCGTTTGTGGGATTAGAGGCACTCCAGGCCAGAAATGCATTCACTGCTGGAATTTGCTATGCTACAGCTTTCTGAAAAGAAATGGCTTTGAAATGACTACCAGCTGCTAATAACTGCAAGACAGGATACCACTCTATTCCTTAGAGCCTAAAGGGAACCTCAACCTTTGAATGTTAAATTCAAGTTAAATTTTCTCTTGGAATTTTGGACTGGGCTTTAGTCCCAGAGACTTAAATAAGAGGAGGGGAGGGAGGGGAGCCGTGTGCTTTATTATGGAACCAATAGTTGGGTGTAGAGGGGTGGTTATTTCAGACTGATTGACTCTCAGACTTCCACAGAACCTAGCTGGGGGACTGCTCTCGCAGGACAGCGGACAGATCACAAGGCTGGAGAGGGACAGAAGTATAACTGGGGGTGGGCAGCTAGAGCACCAGCCCTGGACAGCAACTTTGAGGGGGCACAAGATTGGCAGTCGCTGCTGCCTGAGATGCAGAATCTGCCTGTTACACCTCTGCTGGGGACTGGATGTTTTCTTCCTGCCCTCATTACATGAAACTCTGTAAGGTAAGATACACTTCAGAGCGTGAGCTGGCACCTTTAGTATGGTGTCAAGGGACCGTTCCTCCACCACTCTGCTGTAGCCCAGCATTGCACAGATTGGCCAGGCATGTGACAGGCTTGTCCTCTTTCTGATGCACAAGTGACTGGCCACTTCCTGAAAGAAACTCTGGCCCAAGGGCCCAAAATGACATGGCAACTGTTTCTGTGCAAGCTTGAACCTCTCCAGCACTATTACCATGTTGCAACAGGGTCCCACCACCATTACTAATGCAAGTCTTAAGCATTAGTGAAAAATCATGTGCAGGAGGATCAGGAACAGCCACTAGATCTGTCCACATGCTGAAGCCACCAGAACTGCCTGTTCATGACTACATCTGAAGTACACGCATGAACAAGCACACACGCACACACAAAGCCAGCTCCAGGTGAAGTTGCATTCACGTGATGAGCCTAATGCTTACCAAGGCAGTGGCAGCTCTGCAGAGACCACAACGAAAGTCTTTTTATTGCCCTGGCACTTAACAGCACACAAAATCCAAAACAGGAGTGCTTACTGGTGCAGAGAGGAGCCGCAGCAGCTTAATAAGCTTGATTGCAGATTCTGGCTGATAGTGTTTCAGAGCGTGCAACACCACAGCAGCCTTGATTCGCTGTAACGTCAGAAACCATTTATATTCTACATCATTCTCAAGCTCAGCCAGCAACAACGCACATGCTTCAGAGGATTCGGTTTCTTCTGCACTTTTTCTTGGCCTGATTCTGCTGCTCATAATTTCCAGAAGCTGGTAGCAGCTGTGGGACTGCCAATGCAAGCAGGGCCCAGGCCATTGCCCACACTCCGTACATTGTCTGCCAGTGGGGTTAAAAGGCACAGAGATGAACACACCAGTATTCTGTCTGCACTACATTTCCACCAGGGAAGCTAGAAATTTTAAAGGGGGAGGAGGTGGGGAGGGAGAGGAAAGGTGTAGACAGGAATAAGGTTGTTTTGCTGCAAGTCCTCATATCTAGAGCAATGAGTCTCTTCTCCTGCTCTGGTACCTTCTGGAAAGGTCCCCAACAAGCGAATTCTCACTGTGTAGCCTGCAACAGTTTTGGGAGCTCCCTCACAGTGCCTGCACTTCGGTCTCACAGCATTCCCCCTCCAGCATCCTCCTGCCCTCCCGGCATCTGTGTGACAGCAGCACCGAGCAAGTGGGCTTCTGCCTCTAACAACCTCTCTGATTTCACAGGCTGACATCTTTCACCCAGACTCACCCCAGTCTACAAAATGAGGAGCAGCACAGAAGGTGTGAGAGCAGAGCAACAATATCCCGATGCAGAAGGAGGATGCCTTGATAGCTCCCTAGCCCTAAGACAACCCACAGGAAATAATTATACGAAGCGTTTGTCAGGCCAAGTGTTGCCCATCTGTTCGTTGCTTTAGTTCCTGCACTTCTGCTGCTTTGCCCCAGTTGGCCACACTTCTCTTAAGAATTAAGTTTGACATCTTATTCCCCTCTAATCTGGATTGTCATGAATTGGCACAGAGAGTGATTAAATCTCATGCTTCAGGGCATTCATTAATCTCTTGAAGGGATATCAGGTAGGAAGCATTCCCCCTCCAGTGTTGGAAAGCATTGCATAAATTAGCCAGCTACATTATGGCATGGGCAGATCCACGATTTTATAAAGGGGGTTTGGGAGCAGTGACCAGTGCTGCAGTGGTGGCTGTACTCCTGCTCCCAGCTTTCCCCAACCCCACCAGGGTGGGCAGACCACAATGCCAGAGCAGCAGCCATGGACTTCTTTGAAATCCCCAAATCAAGTAAGAATCCCACCCTCCTCCCAGGTCTCAGTCATCTCACACACTCCATTCACCTGTGCTCAGTGGTACCTCCTATCCCCTCCCGCGTTCCCCCACTTCCCTGACTGTTGCCGTCTCATCTCCATTGTCCCTGGCTGATCTGGGGGCAGGAGGGCTCTAGAGCTACTCCTGCCCCACTCTAGCCGGGCTGTGTGGAGGTTTGGACTCAAACAGGGACAACAGCAGGTAGATTCCCCTTCCTTGTGCCTGCTCCTGGGCCAGTAGGGAACACCCAGGGGAATCCGGCAGGCAGGGGGAACTCACCAATTGCCACTGCCCCTGGCTTCCTGCACAGCCCGGCTAAAGCCCCTCCCTATCATCCAGGGACGGTGACAGTGGCAGGCAGGAGAGAAGAGGAATGGGAGGAAGAGGGGACATGCATATGAGCATGAAGGAGAAGAATGAGGGGCTGGCATTCTTACCTGTTTTGGAGACGTAAAAACAGGTCCCCAGTTGCAGCTCCTGTAACATGGTTTCAAAGGAGAGTGCAACACCGTCACTGTACCCCCTCTGGATTTACCCCTGCATTATGGATATAGTTGTTGGGCTTCCACTATAGCATTCTGCAGAATGAAGGCTGGATACTGGATTTAGTAGCCAACGATCTATTCCTGGGATGCAGTATAGAGGGGCTAAAAAAAAATTTAAAAAATCTCTCACTGCAGTTGGATGCATTTGGTTTGCTCAGTTTATGGTCCTACATAGAACAGTCTCCACGGGGTGGTGATGGAAGCCCCATTGCTGGGGACGGTTAACACAGCTGGACAAAACACTGGGTCGGCTCCTATTGTTTGAAGCCAACGGCTCTGGATGAGAATTGGGGCTCTGTTGTTCAGGGCCCACGATAGACATGTAAGCCTGGGTCCCAAAGAGCTGACAGAAGTATTTGAAAATAGCTGTAGTCAATGCAATGCACAGCAGGAGGGAAAGAAAGAGACAAAACGGTTGAGAACATTGTGCGCAGGCTGAGGACAGACGAGGCTTTTTTCTTCCATTTCTGTTGCACTGCGAGCCACAAGGTGGCGCCATGTAACAGACTGCGCGCTTCTTTCTTCACGCAGATGTGTTAGAAGTGGGGGCTGCCGCCTAATCCATCGCCATCCCCTTCCTGTGAGAGTTGCCTCTGCTAGAGCCTGGCCCATCTAGTCAGTGGCCCTGTTCCTCTATCCCTCAGCATAGGTAAAATGGACACAATGTGCAACGATAAGGTTAGATGTTGCGCCTAACAGCAGCTGCTGCAGGGGGTGATATGATTTATATTAAACATGTCAAATCCCAGGTCTACCATAGAGAGCAAAGATCTATGCCCCCTTGGCAACTAGAGAAACTACAGGTATCATCGGTTTCAGTAATGCTACAATGAATCCAGCGGAAATTCATCTTTAAGGATCATTCTTGGCCCTAGTCCTTTTCTTTGGCTAATGTCTGTAGCATTGGATCAGGTGAACAGGGTGGCACACGTCTGCCTAGAAGAGATTCAGCCATCTCTCTGTCTCTGATGACAAAACAGCAGCCTTGTAGCATCTTGCAATACCTGGTATCTTCCCTAACACTCTAGCTGCCAGGGATCTTGGCCTTCATTTACCAAAGGGGAGGATGTACTTACCCCTCATGGTCACAGGGATGAGTATGTCAGCTTGTTCCAAGAGCACATAGAGGCCCAGAATCCAGAAGGCAGAGAGATAGGAACCTGAAATGTACTTTAAAAGACAATCTCACTACATT